AAAGTTAATTGATGGTTTAACCTTGTTACCCTGGACAATAACTATTTGGTCAAAGATGTGATCGATGAATTCTCAGTATAATTTTCCTTATCAAAAATGAAGAAACTCCTCCAACTTCTCAAAATTTTTGCTCAATGTGAAACCATGGTGTTTTCATTCACATCATCTCTAGCAATAATTATTCTTATTAATTTAAAACTCCGTTCCCTAATCAGTCTGTAAAATAACATAATCATATACATAATGTAAGTAACCACATAAATTACAGTTCAATTTCAATAATATTAGGTATTTTCCTCTGTTATATCGATATCTAAAACAAAAATCGTTCGTCGGAATATTCGGGACCGACAATGATGCCGATTCCATAAATATCGTGTGGCTTACATAAAAATTATCGCTCGATAAACAACAATGTCTAAATCTAAAATCGACCAATTGGTAAAGTTTTTGCCATCCATATTTCTCTTACGCATACAAATCTGCCTTTTTTCTACTACTAGCCAATCTAAAAATGTTCTAAATTTTCATATTTTAGGTGGCATGGCCAATACAAAATGAATGTAGGCTTTGATGTGCAATACCTACTTAGATTTTATTTTTGCGAAAGCGGCAACAGCCTCAGCGGGGCCCCTCCTTATATAAATTGAAGAAAGGGCGGATCTGACAATAGCCGGCAACGCCGGAATAATTGATATGGTAATGGGAGGTATTATTGTGGAAAGTTTTCTCATTCTGTTAAAATTATTATAAAACAGTATTTAAATCAGTCGCATATCATTTTGTTTATCTACCAGAGTAACAGAAAATGTATTTTTAAATATTATGAGATTAGTTGTTGCGTTGCTGTCAGCTCTATTTTTGAAGAAAAAAAAATTGTTTACTTTTTCGTTCTGGATGTTGATTTGAGAACTAACATGCAGTAACCGATATTCATCCAGTGCTTGCATGTAGTTACGTACTTGATTTCAAAAAGATTGTTTTTTCGTTGTGTGAAATGAAAAAAATTATAGTTGCCTTCTAATGATTTTCTTATTTCTATGGATTGTAATTTTGTTGATTGTTGGTAGTTTCTGAGCGATTTCCTGGTTACGACTCACTAAAGTCGTTGATGATACCTCAACTTTTATTTTGTATTGGTTCGTCACAAAGTTCTGGTGACACTTTCATACTCAAGAGTGTCCTTTTCAACCAAGAGGCCCGCAGACTACAATTAACTCACTCAAGAACAACGTTGGTGAATATGTCAACACTGGAGAAGAGACATGTGGCTAGAAAGTTCCTGAGAACTCACTTTCCGAACTCAAAGATAGAAGATCAAACTCAGTGGACGTGGATTGAATTTAGACTTTGACGGGCCTCTGGGGAAGACTGGATGACCTCGAGTAGGAGAAACTCAAATGGCCCTCTAACACATTCGATCCATCAGGGACAGATGAGATCTATCCCATACTGTAACATAATGGAACTGAACTCAAATAAATACAGGAAAATCTTTAAAATCTAGTCTTTGACTATATACCAAGATCATGGAGAAACATCAGGGTGGCCTTTATACCAAAACCTGTAAGAAAAACATGGGGATAGAATATTACGATGGTATGCATATCGGACAAAGATGCCAATAGAAACAGCATTTTCACTTTACTAGCTGGTCAGAATAGTGAAGGCCATCTCGGAAAACAAGGAGGTGATGTTGGGCTTTTGACAAGACAAAACGTCCTCCGACTCAATAATCAGATCTCTCAAGCATAAGTGAAATAAGGAGATCACACTTGATGTCGTTCTCTTTTGTTGTTAATAATATAATATTAATAAAATAGGTACTAGAAGATTAGTACTAACTTGCAGCACTTTTGCAACAACAAGAAGATGGGAGAGCATTTACGTGGTTTGAGAGATTTCTCGATTAAATGTTTTTGCATATAAGTGCCTCGTTTGTAAGTCAGGAGTCAGGTATTATATTAGGAGAATTGTTGCATATATGTAGTTGAATTAAAGCGGTAAGTGATAAGTGAATTTTAAAAAGTCAATTTGTTCAATTGTTGTTGTTAGCAGAGAGAGTTTTAGCTTACTCATGGAATCCGTGACAATAATATGTTTTTTTTTTTATTTTCACACATTTGTTATCTGATATTTAGTTGTTCTGATGATGATGGAAATATTAATACAATCGTGAACCTAAAAAACATAGTTTTGCTGTAATTTATCAACCTGAATGACTTTTAAAAAAACCTTTACAGCAATTAGAACAAGAATATTTCGACGGCGTTTAGCAAGTTTGAATAGTATGCATTTGAATGCATATTTGCTTACTTTCTGTTTTATTTAGCTTTTAATTATTGAATTTCACCTTTTGACATTTTAATTGTAATTGCATCTATATTTAGCAGTCGTATGGTAAGTGACGTTCTATGAGATAGAAGATATGACGTGTCTACTGTGATTATTGAACAAACTATGTAATTTGTACTTATTTGTCAACACATCGTGTATGACCAGAATGGATAATCAAACAAGTTTTAAATTTCAATTTGTTGACAAAAATCGCACTATTTTTGATTAGTAGAACCGTGATCCCTAACTATTCTAGAACCCTCATCATAACAAAAAAACAGTAGCAACACGTGCTTAACCGTTTGTTCGTGTACAAATTGTTGTTTTGTTGAAATAATATAATTACTACGAGATTTTCTGGTTGCTGCCCACAATAACCATAAAACAAAGCTAAAAGTCTAAAGATATCTTAAGTTTTATTGAAATTTAAAATTTGAATGTCAGCTCTATCGAAACGAAACAGCCTGTTATTATTTTATTGTTTTGCGAAATTGCTGGAATTATTGCTACAATGTTTTAAATTTTAATAGTTGGTTGATAAGAATCCTATTTTTTTTTTTTTCGAGTTAATTTCGAGACGATCTTTATCAGTATAATATACATATTATTTTGAAAATTTTCATCCAGTGGCTCTGATTACAAAAATAAAGCGTTTTCGGTATCCTTCTTTGTGAGAACTTTTTTGTTTTAAACATGCTCAGGGATCATATCCTACTAATTTTCGGTGTGCTATACTATATCCTTTTTCTGAAATATCAATACAACTTTTCTGTTACATTACTTTCCAAAATCTAATCTAACAAAACTTGACCAGTTTTTGCCAAAGCCATTTTTGAATGGGCCCACATTATTGCTGCACCTCTACTCTATTAAGTCCAGGTGTTTTTCTGAGAATTTCAGATCCCTTTGGTCAAACGGTCAAACTTATATTTGTATTGATAGTATGCATTCTCTAGTCTAGGGTATCTCTAGAATTCTGAAAATCTCCATCAAGTAAGCTAAATAAATATGAAAAGTTTTCGATTGGAAGCAGGGGAATATCGAAAATAGTCAACGATACGAAGTCCTCAAAAGGTAAGAAGAAATCCAGACGCAAACAGGAAACATCGAGAAAAATAAAATTAGATATGGAGTAAGGAGAGTCGTAATAAAACCGAATTTTCATGTGTAACGATGATTTTTTTGAATCTTGAAGCAGCAGTCATTTTGAGATCCAAAATAACGCGTTGCCTTTCTGCTACAGGAACTAAAGTCGATTTATTTTATGATCGGAAGTCACAAAATGGTACCGAAATCCCATAACTCCTCAAGGATCCTAATATCTAAGTTTAGCTCGTTTCGTTATGGATTCTAAGAGGTTCGTTATATTTTACGATGAATACTGATCTTTTTGCCCCATTAAATTACATATACGCCTGAACTGGGTCCTATTTTTGTCCTAACTGGAATTAAACCGTAACGTACCTAATTAAAGCTAAAATGTGAGTTTATTGTTCTAGGAAACCATTATTTAGGTACAGATTCTTTGCCGAACGCGTATTAACTTTAAAGTGATGTTTCTTATACTTAATTATTATATTTAATTTTTTTTTGTAAATATCCATTAATATTTGTTGAAGCATATTATTGGTGATTGCATCGTTTCTAAGTAAAGCTGATTCCTGTCATAAAATCACTTTTATTTTCTCGTTCTGTTACGAATCATAAATTAAACGATGTAAGGGGAATAATATGGGCACTCTCACCTTCGCTGGGCTAATAAACTATTTAACAATTCGCCGGATTATGAAAGTGTGTGTACCTGACGAACAAAATATGTGAGTAGGTACTTTCAATTTCAGTTACCAGAAAATGTTTGCTGTTAAATAGAAGACCAGGATTTTTTTTTAAATGTACTTGATCGAAATATTCGTAGTAGTTAAGTTCCATGACGCTTATAAGCAAATAAGTTTTGCTCCGACGATGTTATGACGTATTTCAATTAAAAATGTTTCTGTAATAACAAACACAACCATCAACTACTCTAGTAATGCTCAAATTGGTTTAATATTTTTGTTTAATTATTTCATCATCAAAGACTATCAGTGTTGTATAAAGATTTATTGAGGAAATTTTGGTGGTATATTTTTTTTTATCTTGAATTTATCAGAAAAGGGAAAAATACAATCCCGAAACTACTTTTTTTGCTTATCATTCGAAAAGTTGGCATAACAGTTAAGTGAATAGATAAACGCTTACTTACACTATTGAGCATTTTAACATTAAATTTTGAAACTAAATGCACAACAGAAAACAGTGTGCGGAAATAAATGATGAATCTATTGAGGAGGCTTTTTTCAATCCAAATAACTGAATCGGAGATGAAATGTCCGATCCCCCCTTAATCTCCCGGTACGCACTTAGATATAAAAGGCATTTTGACCTCATGCATATTGTATCAGTATCCCCCCACTGTCCCCGCGTATTGCCGAACCGGCTCTGTCTGCCGCTGAAATGACCCTCCAACCAACCATTTTATATGGTATGTGTGTATGGTAGTACTTAAAAATGAGTAAGACCGTGCCTTTCCTTGTTTTCAGCGGTGCGGCAGGCGGCGCACAGCGACAACAGCCACTAAATGCCTCTACTTCTCGGTACTAATACGATGATTGTTTTCACCAAAGGTTCGTCTCATAGCGACAAGGAGGTGGACCCCAACACGCCTGACAAAACGTCAAGGGCCCCCGAACGGAAGCGCAAGCGTAAAGCGGACGACACGGGCGGCGGTTTGGCCGGCGGTGGTACCGTCAAGGGCGGCGGGGGCGGCCGTCCACCCGTTCCGCCGCCCGACAAAAAAATTAGCGAGTACTTCAAACATTCGAGTAGCAGTCCCATTAGGCACGGTGGTGCCAAAAGTCCTAGTCCGCAACAACCTTACCCCATGGTAAGTCGCAAATTTTATTTCAGATCCATTTTAACAAATTGAATCCATCCAAGGTCCATTCAATACATCACACAAATGAGAAATTGACTAGAAGTTCATTAAATTATTGAATAGACCTTTTTGACCAAACTAACACCAATCAACTACTTACTTCCAACCCCATTCATTAAAAGAATGTTGGAGCTCCACTTGAAATTTTTCGACATAAATTGTCATTCATTGCATGTATATTGTATTATTTTTTCAGTTACCTCCATCTCCTCAACAAGTGGGGCTCCCATCGCCGGTGACGACGGCGCCCTTCGATTTTCTCTCCTCTTCCCGACAACCTCTTCCGAGGTTACCTCCTCCTCCTATGGTTAGCAAATTAATACAGGTAAGAATTTCTAACTATTAACATGAGCCGTCCATACAATTTCAAGTCAAATTCGCAATGTATTTTTTTTTTTTTTCATTCTAGACTGAATTAACGTGTCATCGAATCACCGAATTCGAGACGCAAGCGTCCTCTGATTTGGAGGTACGGAATAACAAAATAGACGAACTGACGCGGTCAAATGAAGAGCTTAGGCATCAGATCTCGACGCATCAAAAGGCCATCGACCAACACAAGCAGCAGGTTAACAAATGTATCGAGGTAAAAACTTCAACCTCCTAATAATCTTTACAATTTCACTTACCGTTTGTTATTACCTAGGTTGTAAAAAAGTTACTAAAAGAAAAAAGCTCAATAGAGAAAAAAGAAGCGCGGCAGAAATGTATGCAAAATAGATTGAGACTGGGACAATTTGTGACGCAACGGGTTGGTGCTACATTTCAAGAAAACTGGACTGACGGTCATGCTTTTCAAGAACTGGCAAGGTAACCACTATCCACCCTTTTCCAATGTCTTTAAAATTTTACAATTTGTGTTTTATGTTTAGGCGGCAAGAAGAAATCACATCAGAACGAGAAGAAATCGATAGGCAAAAAAAACTCTTGTTAAAAAAGAGGCCATCAAATAGCGAGGGTGGCGGTAGGAAACGAAATAATTCTAGCGCGTTACACAATGGCACGACGACGGACAGTGGTTTTCTCAAGCCGGACGCCGTGCCAGGTTCTCTAACATTGCAAGAGTACTACGAGGCTGACGAAATTCTCAAATTGAGGCAAAACGCTCTTAAAAAGGAAGACGCCGATCTGCAGTTGGAGATGGAGAAGCTAGAACGGGAGAGGAATCTTCATATTAGGTAAATCAAAAGGAACACACTTAGATAGATGCTTCAACTCTTTCGCTCACAATTTTTTTAACTTATGATGTCAGCTATTCATGTTATATAGAGGCTTACCCTTGGGAAATATAGGGTCGCTTAAACTATGGCAAAATTGCGGAATTTGATGTTCAATAAAATGCCGTATTGAAATGTACAAAATTCACAATACTTCAGAAATTATCCAAAAAAAAAAATAGGACATTGTGATTTTCGTTTTTATTTTTCCCTGGCTTCATTTTAAAAGAAAGAGGAAAATCAGTATAACTTTATTGAAACACTTTTGGACGGACCTCTGTGATTATACTATTTGTTTTTAAAATTTTTGGTTTTGCAGGACCATCATCAACCTTTCTTTAAGACGGACCTGGATTTTTTATTACATAATTTGTTTGGTTTTGATATTCATATTGCATTTATTTTATTTTATTTTTTTAATTCCGTCGTTTCCACCCAACATATTCTTCCTCAGGCTGTGGTGGCAACGGGACTTTATGATAGGAGGGCAGTAACTCAGTTTCTTATTGGAACATTTCCCAATCAGTGGTAATGGTTTGTCAGGAGCCCCAATTGGTCTACTCCCATGGGGATTATTAAAAAATCGTTTGTTTAAATACACTGATGATGGTTTCTAGTTCCAATATGAAAATGCCATCTGATAGAGGAAGAAAAGTGATCACAATTGACTGTCATTTATTTTTGATTCACCCACCTTTTGAAAAAACGTCAGAAAAGGATTTATCAATTTTTTCTCATGATATTGGGAATTCCCAAATTCCCCAAAACCATATCATGTTGAACATCAAATCACGCAAATCTTCCATTACTCTCTGAGTAACCCGTAGTCTGTTGGCACTTCGTGCGGTCACCGTCATAGTCTCCAAGCCGTACGTCATTACCAGTAAAATACATTTATCGAAAACTTCTCTTTTTAGGTTGTTGGAAACTTTGATCTTGAATATATAGTTCAGTCTACCAAAAGCTGTCCATCCAAGTTTAATCCTTCTCGAAATTTCAGTTGTTTGGTTATCTTTGCTGAATCTTATGGCATGACCCAGATATACATACTCTTTGACGTTTTCGATTCTTTGCTGATTGACCGTAATCAGTTCTTCGTTTTCGCTTAGGATTTTAGTCTTGGACAAATTAATTCGGAGGCCTACCCTTGCAGATGCTCGATGGAGTTGTTCGAGCATTATTTGGAGTTCCTCCGATGATTGGGCAAGGACAACAACATCATCCGCGAAGCGCAGATGGTTGAGCATTTCACCGTCCACTCTAATACCTTTCTCTTTCCAATCCAACGTCTTAAAGACGTCTTTTAGCGCCAGTGTAAAAAGTTTTGGGGAAATAGTATCTTCCTGTCTGACTCCTCTTTCCATTTTGATTTTCTTCGTCGTTGTTATTTCATCTAGTTTGACAGTCATCGTAGCTGTTTTGTAGATAAACGATATTATGCCAGAGTATCTATGGTCTATTATGGCATTGTTTAAGGCTTCTAGAATGGCGTGTAGCGCTATAGATTCGAAAGCCTTCTCATAATCTATGAAGGCTATGTATACCATAGGGATGTTGTATTCGGTGCTTTTCTCTATGAGTGTGCGGATCGCCTGAAGGTGGTCTACAGTACTATATCCACTTCTGAACCCTGCCTGCTCTGGGGGTTAATAGAAATCAAACTTGTTTATTAGGCGGTTTGTAAGCACTTACGTGAATATTTTGTAAAAGTGGGATAAAAGTCTGATGGGGCGATAATTTTCAAGTTTTGTGTTATTTCCCTTTTTATGGATGAGTGTGATTGTTGCGTTTTGCCATAACTGTGGTATTCTTTGTTCAGCAATGCACCCATTAAAGATTTCCTTTATTCTCTTCAGTAGAGGTTCTCCAATCTATCCTCTCCAGGTGTCTTGTTGGTTTCCATTTAAGACAATGCCTTCTTTATTTCGTCGACGTCTACTTCGGGAACTTCCTCAGAACCAACGTTAGTGACTGGAGGTCTAGAAGGTTGATTGATTGTTGGTTTTCTGTACAGTATTGTGTAGGATTGTTCGACTATTTTCAGCATTGATTCTGTTGTTGATACAAGGTTGCCCTCAGAATCCGTAAGTTGGTAAATTTTATTTCTGCCTTTGGCTCTGTTCTTCCTTAGGACTTTCATGTTGGAATTTTGTGCTATACATTCTTTTATCATATTTGTGCTATGAATCCTGGTGTCCTTACGGATGGCCTTATTAACTGTTTTATTCATTTCTCTATATTGTGGTGTGCCTTTCTCTAGTTTACGTCTCTCGGTTATTAGTTGTTGTCTTTCTGGGGATATTTTAGGGTTTCTGGTGGTTTTCAATTTTGTTATGGTTTTCCTGGTACTTTTCATAATCTGGGATCTCATGTGCTGTACCAGGTCATCGAGTGAGAGTTGTTCTGTGTTTTATGTGCTTGATAATCTTCTGTCTAGGTCTAGTTGATAACTGAAGATATTTGGGGGGGGGTGAGGTTTAGATGTTGACTTTTAGCGTGGATGAGTTTGGATCTTTCTAGTTTTGTGTTAATTTTAACTCTAGCTCTAACTAATCTATGGTTGCTGCCTATAGAGAATTGGTTTATGTAGATCCATCAAGGCTGGCCCAAGTGCATTTCTTTTGTGGTGGTTTTTTAAAAAAGGTGTTCATGGGATAGATGTTGTGTTGTTGGAGAGGTTGAGGAGTCTCTCGCCTCTTTCATTTCTCTGTCCTAGGCCATATCTTCCTATGTGTGGTCCATCGTCTTTTTCATATTTTCCTATTTTTGCTTTATAGTCGCCGATTATAAAAGAGAAATGAGTTTTTGATATACTCAAGGCTCTCGTTATGTCTTCATAGAAGCTATCAATTTCCTCGTCATCGGATGATGCAGTTGGTGCTTATACCTGAATAACTTAATGAGTATTTTCGATTTAATTTTAGGACGGCAAAGATTACTCGATCGGATATGGATTTGAGTTCCGTAATATTTTCTTGAAGTTTAGGTGAGATCAGTAAAGCCGCTCTACTTTGTGAGTCTACCTTAGAGTTTCTCTGGTATAGTGTGGAACCATTTTCATTGCATCTATTAGGCTCTGCATATTAATATAAATTATTTTTGATACTACTTGAAAAAATAATAAAAAAACAAAATTAAACTGTTACGAACTCTAGAATTCTTTAATTCCATTTTGTTCATTTTTAAACAGCTTCTCCATAAGCTTTCAAATTCAATTAAAGTGAGGGAAAGGGTTACTAGTGATGTAAGTGATGATAGCTCTTGATCCAGAAATCCATGATGGTCAAATTTATGTTTCAAGACGGGACTGATATATATATTTTTTTTTCCAATATAAAATATTTGCAGCTATTAATAATAAACATAAAAATGTTCTTATCCAGGGAATTAAAACGTATCCACAACGAGGACCAGTCGCGGTTCAACAACCACCCCGTATTGAATGAGAGGTACCTATTATTAATGCTTCTGGGTAAGGGTGGCTTCAGTGAGGTGCACAAAGCTTTCGACTTGAAGGAACAGCGGTACGTTGCGTGCAAAGTGCACCAGCTCAACAAGGACTGGAAAGAGGACAAGAAGGCCAACTATATCAAGTGAGTTTGGTGGTAAAAATCGATTTATTCGCCTTTTTTAATTGTTAATAATACTATTTTTTATGATGAGACTTATTCATGCTTTTTTATTTCATTTTTTAGGCACGCTTTAAGAGAGTACAACATCCATAAAGCCCTGGATCACCCCAGAGTAGTTAAATTATATGATGTATTCGAAATAGATGCAAATTCTTTCTGTACAGTTCTAGAATATTGTGATGGTCATGATTTAGACTTTTATTTAAAACAAGTAAGTGTCTTTATTCCTTTTAATACTTTTCTCACTTAAGAGTTATTTTAATGTTTTTGTAGCATAAGACAATACCGGAGAGAGAGGCAAGATCAATCATAATGCAGGTAGTGTCGGCGCTCAAGTACCTGAACGAGATTAAGCCTCCTGTGATCCACTACGACCTAAAACCGGGAAATATCCTGCTAACTGAAGGCAATGTGTGCGGAGAAATCAAAATCACCGATTTCGGACTGAGCAAAGTCATGGACGAGGAGAATTATAATCCCGACCATGGCATGGATTTAACGTCACAAGGTGCAGGGACCTATTGGTATCTGCCGCCGGAATGTTTTGTAGTCGGCAAAAATCCACCAAAGATTTCGTCGAAGGTGGACGTTTGGAGCGTAGGTGTGATATTTTACCAGTGCCTCTATGGTAAAAAGCCATTCGGACATAACCAGTCACAGGCCACAATTTTAGAGGAAAATACTATTTTAAAGGCCACTGAGGTTCAGTTCGCCAATAAGCCTGCTGTGACGAATGAAGCTAAGGTGAGAGATTAATAATTTGGATCTTTTAAGTAGTGTAGTAAGTTTATTCTTAAAAATTTTACAATGATGTACGAATTATTGATAGGGTTATATTGTTGGCAGATTTAGGCAAGTAGAACATACTGTGGTAATGTAGTAAAGTGCAAATTATGATATACACTTTTAACAGAAGATCTTTAAGATATCTAGCTTGGTAAAGATCATCTGTATTTTATTTATGGTTGATAAAAGAATTTCCTATTTTTCTGAGACCACCAGCTGCTTGTTTGGTCTCTACTCTCTAGCTAGTTTTTCTTTTTTGAAATTTTTGAGCTGCAGAATGGTCTGTGGAGGACATGATATTTGGTCAAAGATGAACAAGTGAATGCCTTGAACACTCTCCTTACAATATTTTATTGCAAAATAAACAAAACACACTAACAATAATTTTTCATCTTATGATTGCCCTCCATCATATTTGGTAAAGTTTTTATTACAATCTTGGAATCCTATTTAATCTCATTTCTCTCTAAGCTGCTACATCATTTACTTTATACACCATTGTAGGCACAATGAAAGCGCTGTCCAAGTAACCAATGCAGATTCTTCCAGAACTGAGGGTCAATCCTGAGCATTGAAACTGGGATGGCCGACTGACAGATCTTGTCATTTTTCGCTATTTTGGGTAAATCAGTCTTTTTTGTACGATGGATTTTTTGTCAAATATGAAAATCCCTTTCATTGCCGTAATTATAGGTGGTGAACTCGTTTTACAATAGGAAAAATCGGGTGTCCCATTTTTAATGCTCGTGACTGTACATTCAGGATTCAGGGGTTCCCTACAATGAACTTCCAATTACAATATTTAAAATCTTGAATCTTCTAGCTTTAAACCATATACTTTGAAAAAAACTTGATTTTTATTGTCCTTACAAACTAACATTGAATAATGAATTGCCTTTAATTTTAATGACATCAAGTATGTTCTTGTCCCTAAAACAACTCAACATAAAATAAAACAGTTCTCTGGTTGAAGCAGGTTTAACTAGGTTTGGAACTATATTCTCGTGTTGAACGGCTTCAAATTGAACCTGATTCATGAGCTTTTGGTTTTTTTTTTTGGAGGGGGGGTTGGCTCCTCTTTGTTGACATCTCATATTGGTTCAATCAAAACATTCCACCCCCCAAGCGACTACCTTAAATTTGGATATTAAGGCGAGATTGTACAGTATGTGAATTCCAGATAATCCTCAAACTCTATCTATATGCATGAATTTATGGTTATCTAACTGCGGTTTGGTGTTTTGCTAAAAACGTGATGCTTTGACAACAACAAATAAATTCACAGGACAAAAGGCACCAAGTGCACGTGACCTAGACATTTCTCCATAGCAAACCACTACTCAATTATTGATATACAAGTTGTTAATTTTCGTTTATGAGTATTTCCATAAAATAAATTCCCAGTACACAAGTTCTGCTAATATCTCAGTAATTAAATTACTCTTGTATGTTACGGAGAATCACAGCAATAAAGAACTTCTTTACTAAACAACAGCATCCCCAACAATTAATTGGGAAATGTATCAATGCCTGGTAGGCAATGATGCATGTTAATGATGCACCTGGCAATGATAGACGTTAATGATGCACGTTGCACCAAGTTTATTCTTTATATTTGGAGGAATAGTACTTTGTCTTGTCGTATTCGACTGGAACAAAAAATTAATCTAAAATAATACAATCAATTCACAATCACGATAACAAACTAGACAAATAACCAAAGACCATTGATAAAACTACGCTTACAGTAAAATCTTCCTTGACCGGACAACAATAGGTTCATGCATAGCCCCCCCCGCCCCCACTAAAAATCTTTAGATGAAAATTTATCCGTAATTTTGCTCCATAAATTTTAAATTTTGCTCCATTACGCTTTAGAGTCTTTTTCGATTTTAAGGTGGGGGTGGCTAAGTTAATGGTAGCCCCTCCCCCACCAATTTTTTTCCATTTCTGACTGTGGATTCTTATTTTATTAATTTTGCTCCATTTTGCTTTGTTATTTAAAAATTTTGCTCCAAAACCGCTCCGTAGTTATATATATACAAATCGGCTTCAAAACGTTTTTCGATGCCTCTATACACCCAGAGATCCCGTTCCAGTACCCAGTCTCTTATCTCCTTGTCTATCCCCTCTTTCCAGCTTTTTCGTGATCTTCCTCTTTTTCGTCTTCCTGCTGGCTTCCAGTCAAGAATCTGTTTGGGCAGTCTCTCATCAGACATTCTTTGTACGTGGACATACCATTTTAGCTGTTGTGTTCTTATGTCGTCAGCGATTATCCTATTTATGCCCATGATTTCTCGAGATTTTCCTGCAGCACGACTCCAGAAATCCATTTCTGTCGCTTCGAGGGTACGTACGGTTCTATCCTTTAGCTGCCATACTTCGCTTCCATAGGAGACAATGTTTTTTACAATTGTGTTGTATATTCGGTGTTTATTGGTTTCAGAGATATGGTTGTCCCATAGAACACTGTTTAGTGTTTCTATATTTAATAGCTTCATCTAGCGTTCTACTACATCTTCACTCCCAAATATTTGTATTTTTCGCAACCTTCAATAGTTTGACCATTATCCAGTGGCAGATTTTGTTGGGGTCCGCCGACGCATATGTTTTTGGTTTAAGATATGTTGACCTGTAGTCCCCATTTGCTATATTCGTCAACTAGCTTTCTGGTCATATATTCAAGATCGTCAATGTCTTGCGCCATTACCACTTGATCATCTGCGAAGCTTAGGATGTAAATGGTGTTGTCGTTAAACGGGATACCCATATTGCTACATTTACGTTTCCATTGTAGCAGCGCTTTTTCTAAAAATATGTGTAGGAGACAAACAGCAACCTTGCTTTAAGTTGCTTTGTTTGTGAAGAAACCGTTGGAGAGTATCTATGTTTCCAACTTTCATTTTTATATGAGAGTTTTTGTAAATTTCCCTTATGGCTTTACTTATCGTTAGATTGATCTTTGTTGTCTCCAGGGCTTTCCACAGTTTAACCATTGAAATGCTGTCATAAGCTTTTTCCAGGTCTACGAATAATAGGTGGACTTCTTTATTAACGGCTGACAGTTTTTTCAGAATTTGTGTTCCACGGAAAAGGTGATCAACTGTTGATCCTCCTGTCCGGAATCCAGCTCGTTCTTCGGCTTCGTTGACAGCAAATTCTTGTTCTATGCTGGCTTCAAGTACCTACTTTACCGTATAATCTACTTATCGTCCCCGTAACTGCAATGCCCTTGTAATTGCCACATTTATCTTTACTACCCTTTTTATATATTGGGGTAAGATAGGACTCTTTCCATTCTTCTGGAATCTCACCGGTATTAATGCATTTTTGGAATAACTTTGCTAGGTGTTTGTATAGTGCTTGTGTTCCAAACTTTAATAATTCAGCTGGTATGTTACCCGGTCCGGGAGCCTTTCTCTTTTTTATACCTTTGCATGCGTTTTTGATTTTTTTTTATGGATTTTCTCATGGGTGATGCTGAAACAGATATGTTATTTCCGTTCCGTTCGGGTTCCCTAAATTTGTCTCAATCTTCTTGCAATACTTCACTGAAGTATTTGACCCATTTTGTAATGAAATAGGAGATATTATGTATGTCTTTTTCTCTTAACGTAGTGACTTTATTCCCAACCGTTCCGTAGTTACAGAGGTTTAAAAAATATCAATCAGATCTGACTGTGGATTCTTAAGGCCGATACTTTTGCTCTCGATTAACAAATTTGATGCGTCGTCAAAGTTTTGCATGGGCCAAGGTCTATAAGTATGATGTGGTTAAAGCACATTCAAACCCCTGATTAGTTTTAACGGCTGTCAAATGATAGCAAAAGTACCAGCACGTAGACTACTAATTTTGCTCCATTTTGCACCGTTATTGGAAAATTTTGCTCCACAACCGTTCCGTAGTTAAAGAGGTTTAAACCTTGGATTGTTTAGACAATATTAATCAGCATTGGCTATCGGTAATTGCATCTGCGAGCAAAAAGAGCAAATTTTGAAAGACGTCTCGTGATCACTAATCTTTTTTCACATGACATCTGTCAAATTTTGCTCATTCTGCTCGCAGATGCAATTACCGAACCCAGCCACATTATAGTACCTATACGTAAGTGTTTTTTTTATCAATAAATATATTCTTCACTGAATTTATTTTTCTTCAGTCTTTCTGTTCCTTGTCTTTTTTTATTTGTGAGACTAGATTTTACTTCAAAATAGTTATGGAGTGAAATGTTTCAATAATGGAGCAAAATTAGTAGTCTAAGTGCCAGTACTTTTGTTCTCAGTTTTCGAATTTGACAGCCGTTAAAAATAATCAAGGGTTTGAATGTGCCCTAACCACATTATACTTACAAACCTTGGTCCATGCAAAACCTTTCAAATTTAACGACGTGTCAAATTCGTTAATCGAGATCAAAAGTATCGGCCCTAAGAATCCACAGTCAGATAGGGAAAAAAAGTGGTGGGGGGGAGCTGATTGATATTTTTTAAACCTCTGTAACTACGGAACGATTTTGGAGCAAAATTTTTCAATAACGGAGCTAAATTAATGGAATAAGAATTCACAGTCAGAAATGGAAAAAAACGTTGTGGGAGGGCTACCATTAACTTAGCCCCCCCACGTTAAAATCGATATAGTCTCTAAAGCGTAATGGAGCAAAATTTGAAATTTATGGAGCAAAAAGCAGCAAAATTATAGATAACTTTTTATCTAAAAAATTTTAGTGGGGAGTGGGGGGCTAACTTAACAGACCTAAATACACTGCCGAGCATAAAATTAGGGTCACCCCATAATTTGCAATTATTTTTAAATTTTTTGGTTTTCGCGAATTGATTTTTTTTTTTTGTGTAAAGTTCACTAACTTTATGCGATGATTTTGTCGTAGTTGCTTGAATTTAAAAAAGTTCTTGTTGTTTTGCCCCAAGTTTTACTTGCAAATTATGGGATGACCCTAATTTTATGCTCGGCAGTGTATGTTCGCTCAAGAGAGAATTAGGAAATTATACAAACCCAAATAAGAAACCAAATGTCATCACCAGAAACTCAACAATAATATTCCATAGCTAGACTAATGAACAAATTATAATGCATTTCGAGGTGCGATAAAATTTGAAAGGCTTATTCCACTGAAGTCATGTAGGTTTTATTGCTGCTTTCTGATTTTGCTTTGTGTCGCTCATCATCAGACTAATCTGATACTTCTAAACCATCAAAATTTGAAAAAATTCAAGCTGTTTTTGTAGATTTTAAGGAGCTGACCAGCTTGGCCAGTAGGGAAAGCGGAATTTCTTTTCTGGGTGCGATGCCTTTTCCTTGAAATTTCGATTTTATGAAATGCCTTTTGGAGATTTTTTTTTATAGTTCTGTTGTGTTATTTGGTCCAATGTTTTTTTTTTGGATAAAGTAGAGTGCATCCAGTAAATCAATTTTCTCAACTAACTCTGACATGCAGATGTGCGGTTAGATGGTGGAAACAACATTATGATATTTTCCAGTTTTATCCAGGATGTAACCCTGCAATTTTATTGCCTCTGGAAATTCTCTAAACCTGTGCATCTTTTACCGTTTAAGGGAGAGCAATTTCAATGCACTTCTGCAGCAAAACCAGATGAAAGTTTGTGCTCAAGGAAGGTGTCCGTTCTTAGAGATTTCTTATGGAACAGAATAAATAACGGGGAAAATTGACGCTGTTAGAGAGACTCTTGTATAGAATATATTATACATTTTTGGACCAGACAAATTTTAATTTAGTTTTAAGAACTCGAATTAATATTTAATAAATATCAATATTTAATATTGATATACTTTATGGATGAAAGAAAAGACTATCCAAATATTTAGGGCTCGAAACCAATTTCAAAATTTAAATTAAAATGATAATTTTTTTGAACTTTCAAGAATTTGGTAATTTATTGTGGGAAACCAGTTTTATTTCGCAAAACACATTACATAGTTTCGATACAATAGGGAACTTGCAAGTGAACTAAAATTTTCCAAATTTGTTTTAAATTGATAGTTTATACTGCACATTATTTATATGACCGGTTTTTATTTAACTGATACCGCCCTTGTTCCACAAAAAGTAATACGAAGTTTGAAATAAAAAAATTCCCGCCAAAACGATGTTTCCATGATGGCTACCTTTTTTGACGTCACTATTCTGTAAACAAAACCGTCAATATGGAACTTGCAAGTAAAAAAAAAATTACAAAAGCAGTCCTTTACAATATTCTTCATCCATTGCGACAATTTTCACAAAAAGCAACCTTTAACACACTTGAATAACACAAAAATAGCACTGCGTCAGCAGGAGTTAGGAGTTCGTTTGCTACGTATTTGTTGTTTACAAAATCTTAATATGACAAGCGTTGTCATATTGAGATTTCGTGTTTTCGCGCCAAAGTTTTTGATTTGAATTTCAATAAATTTTTTTCGTACAATGTATAGATTAAAATGGAAAATAAGAAAACTATGTAATAACTGATCACTAGAAGTATCTAAAAAAAAATAATTTGAGAAATATGAAAATTCCCTATTTCAATAATAGGTCTGTACAAACAACAAGACTAACCAAGTATATTTTTTTTTCAGAGTTTTATTAGAAGCTGCCTAGCCTATCGCAAAGAAGATCGTATCGATGTTCTTTCGTTGGCGAAACACGAGTATTTACAGCCCCCGATGCCTAAACATTCTCGCGTTACCTCAAACCAAGCGCAGCAACAACAACAGCAGCAGCAACAACAACAGGCCAGTTCCTTTTCGACAGGCATTTTTGGGGCAATGAACGCTTCCTCATCCTCTTAGTTCAGTGCTGTGTTTAAAAAGTTATTTAAATTTTAATGAGACTTTTAGTTATTGTTGTCGGTGGTTGTCTCCAAGTACTTTGCTCCATAGAGTGGTGACGTACCCCCATAAGCCCAAAATTTTGTTATTCAAAGTTGTTTTAGTGAGAAGGACCCAGTTGCGCAATAAAGCTAGGACGCCTAAAATGAAGAAGTCGCGCTGGGGGTGTTTATTATTTTTTTCTTAGCCGCCCTCCCTCCACCCCCAAACACAATTTTCCATAATAATTATTAATTATTGTTGCTTCAAACGCTTAAAAAAAGTAAGTTGTGTTGGCTAGAGGTGCTGTTTTCTTTATAAAAATAATTTTTGGATATGTCAAAAATTATTTTTCTTATCAATTAAACGCCATCTTCTGGCAAGGTTTAATAGGACGTTTACCGAACAAAAAAAAAAAAAAAAACCTGTGTATTTACTAAAAAAAAAAAAGAAACCTAATAGGCCTTAAGTTTAGCTTTAGAGAAAAAAAAAACAAGGGGAAAATCAACTTATAGCTAGTCATTAAATATTAAAATTGTTAAAAAGTGTTTTATGGTGGATGGCTTATTGAATCTTGATTCGGATATGACCGGATAAAATAACTTTGAATTTATTTAGTCAAACATTCAAGGCCTAATTTGCCATCGTTAAGAATTATACATATTTTTGAGTTACATTAACTTATTATGTATAAAAATTATGTACTGAAAATTTCAAAGTTATTAATTGTGAAGACAGTTCCTATCAAAGAAAATTTCACCTATAGCCGCCTGACTATCATCAAAGAATATTATGGCTAATGTCAATTGTGATAGTTTTAGGTTTTATCAATCCAGTTTTATTGACTCCGTCAAATTTAATTTGCATGTGGTAAAGCCTTACTTTCAGCAGGCTGAAAACTACCACAGCGCACAGCGTAAGTTTGCCATAGTGTTAGCTATGCTATTTTTTGCTGTTGTCTAGTTTATATTTCTTAATTGCAAATTAAATGATTGGACCAAAAATTAAATGTGTAAAGAAAATTTTCAAACTAAACTTATTTTTACCTCTCAGTGCCGATTTCTTCAATATCTGTTGAAATTTAGTTATTTGTATGCCTTTGTTAAAAAAATTATAGAATTTCTACCACTGTTTCTAATTTGGCATGAATATAACCAAATTTCAAGGGCTGGTTTGTTTAAGAATGTCTAAGTTCAATTATTCTTATTGGAATAGAATAAGATTAAAAATGGTCAAACATTTTCCTGAAGAGACCAGTTCTAAAGAAATATAAATTTAGGCATCCTATGCATGATTGAAAAAAGGGAAAACTATTGTTTCCTATAAGTTAAATATTGTACTGTAAAGAACAATAAGTAAAAGTTATTTTATGAAGTGACCTTGTTTTTTAGCACACTTCTTTATTTATTGTTTTTTTTTTTTTTTTGATTGTCTGTTTTTCTTAAACAAGGGTGTATATTGTCAGATTTTCTAGACCAAATGAGGGTGCATTTGTCATATAATGGTTAATACTCTTATTTTATATAATTTAATTTTCCCATTGTTCTTGAGTCTATAAAATCTACTAATTTATTAAGGTTTATTTACCATCTTCTAGGGTTAGAAGCTTTTTTTTGTTGTACAAATTGATTTTTTTTTATTGTGTTTGTTTTACATTTTGTTTACTTATTATACAATTTATTTTTTGAAAAAAAAAATGTTCTACCTGTATTGGACTTTGCTTTATATATAATTATGTAATTGATATAAAAAAAAATACTACCTCATTAGAACTGCTCAAGTATATATTGAGAAAAAGGGTGGTTCAAATGAACGAATAGGTTGTGCAAAATAAAATGAAATATTAAAAAGATACGGGTATTTCCAATAAAAATTAATACTCAATTGATCATCTAATCATGTGTGGAAAAAATAAAACCCAGTGTCTATTTCAAAGATTCAATTATTATTTTTTTTGTTTTTCTTAAGAAAGCGTTGATCAGAAAGATGTTCTTGAAGCTTCATACACAGCTTAACATTGCACCAAACAACAGCCGAAACGTGCTTTTGCTTCTAGCAGTACCCAATGATAGATTGATCCCGAATTATTTGCTGTCTGACGCAACTTCCAAGTCTGTACGAAGCTTGAAGTTCCATCTCCGAATAAGATATTTTCTCGACCAAAAAACAAAAAAATATTTGATCGAAACTCTATCATAAAACTACCTAATAATTAAATATGCAAAAAAAGACCATCATATGACAAATTTTGGCCTGTAACAAGTTTTCCTAGAAAGTTCAAATTTTAGATTAAGATATAATTATTACCTGTTATACTTGTCGAAAAATTTTGAATTTCTAAGGTTGATATTCGCCCTTTCTCATTTATTTATATTTTGCAGCTGTTTTCAAAAGGCATTTTTTTTAAAAACTGTTCGGGTTGGCATTTATCAATATCATAGGAAATAAATATTGTGTTAAATTAATTTTTCTATTGGATTTGGAAGGAAAACATTTTTCTGCAGCCATTTTATTACATTATCTTCAAAAATTGAAATATGTAATATTAAGCTATTGTTTTTTAAAATTTCAGATGTACCTAAATCATGCCTCTTAGATATTTATGTTTATTATATACAATATAATATGGCGACCTTCTTTATTGGAAAAATTATGTTATTGTAGATATAGTTGAATGCTCAACCCCACAGTGAAACAAACTCATCATATATTCAAAATATTTTTTTTTTTTCTGTTTTGGACCCTAGCTTACCAATATGCTGTATATAAATACATACTCTATTTTGAATATATTCTGAAATGGTTATCCCCAAGAGACAATTTTTTTTTTTGAAATTTTGGGTAGATTTATTTCTTTATTAACAGTTGAAAAGTTCAGTTTCCATTCCCCAGTTGAACTAGAAATTTAGTTTTGCACATTGTCTAGCATAATTTTATGAAAATGTGTAAATAATTGATTTTTGATTGCTCTCTTTTATAATTTTTTGAAAATAAATCTGCGAATTGGTCGAGTAGGTTTCATCTCTAACTACTTAAAGCAAAGTAGCAAAATGCATGTGTGTTAGAAATCAAAATTCTAGTTTTACGGAAGAAAGAATGCCTTATTTTCAACTGGTAATTAAAAAATTACCCCTGTGGGTAGTTTTATCACTTCTTTGTTCCAATCTGAATTGATAAAACCTCCTAATTCATATCAATGCTGTGACCTCATTTGAAAACGTGTTCGACCAAGTTGTTTTCCCAATTATTATTGTATATTTAGTGTATATTACACATTGTTAAGGTTTAAAAAATGGTCGAATACAGTTTTTTGAAGGGGAAAATTGGCATTGTTGTAAATAATCAAATGTAAACAAAAAAGGAAAAAGTTAAATGCTGCAATATAAGTGAAAAAGCCAAAATATGTCCATAATATTTGAAGACTCGCAATTAAAAAAAAAAACCTACATGTTACTTATTTATACTGTGCTGTTTGTGTGGAGTGGTAGACCGCCACGGACATTGTGATAAGAGTTAGGTAAATAGTCATGTCTAGATGCAAGAAAAATGTATCGTTATATCACTTGTTTATGTACTGTATCTATACTTATTTTATACAATCGTTCACAACATTTTCTTAGGTATATTTTACCAGTTTGTATATACAGTGTGTATCAAATTACACAAATAAGTTTTTGAAATTTTAACTATTTATTATTTTTCTCCCAACTCTATGAAATATAAGTTCTTAATAATTTAATAATGATGTTTTTTTTTTCTTCAAATTTTGGCTTTTAGTTGATGATACGTTCACGCATGAAGTAATGACTGATTTGGTTGAAGTACTGACGCGAATGCAGTATGCAAAACCATGTGTGACGGCCTTCAACATTCTAGCGCTTGGCTAAATATTGAAATAATTACATCTGAACTCAGGCATATTCAACAATGCTTCTGGGGCTTAAATTTTATGAAAACCTCAGTGGTTTAAACCGCATTTTGATATCTTTCCCTCTTCTGCTACTAGATGGCGCTTCGATCGTAACAGGCATACGATAAGAATCACATTTTACATGAGCGATCCGTGCTACATATTGTTTGGTTAGACATGCGCATTGAGTTCTGTTTTAATATACCATATTATAACTGTATTTGATATTCTTCTCTAACTGCAACTTTGATAACAGTTTAAAGTCCAGAGTTTCAAATCGCTGCTTCATTATGTATTGATAACTTTTCTTTTTTTTATAACACATTATTCTATGCATAATACTGGATAATTAGTTAGCTTAAATTCAAACAATTCAACTGGGCTTTTTTTAGAGGACTCCAGTATATCCTATTCTATTGAGTAATGGAAATATTTTGAAAATACTGATTACAGTATTTTCAAAAATTACGCGCCCGAGTTATCCGCATTAGGGATAATCGCAGGGGTCAGCCCAACCCTAGTGCAATGGAAGGGCCTCACCCCGGGGAAACCGCCTTGTTGATCACGGTAGCCCCTACGCCAGGTAAATATCCCCTCAATTATGAGGGGATATAAAGCCAAAACTTTCAACCCTTTGTTTATTTAATTATTCAAATTTGTACAATTTCAGGTGATGTTCCTACCTAACTAGTACAGTAATATTTGCTATTTAACATTAATACCAAAATAAAAGCTGAAAATCATAATGAATAACATTAAAATACAAAATGCAAACTCAAAAACAAACAAAAAACGAGAAAAAGAGGTATTGTTACATCCATTATGAGTCTATTTTAAGCAAGACTAGAGGATAACTTAATAGGTACCAGCTTTCAATGGAAATTCCAACTTTTAAAAAATTACCAAGGGTAAACCGCCACCCAAATTTGTACAATGAATACATGGAGTACAAAGGAATACATGAAAATACAATTGAATACAAGAATACATGACTACAAGGGAATATATCGGATCTGAAAAAATTGCAACCACTTACTGTGCTCGAAGTGTGCTTTACTGCGCCGATGATATTTTGAACTGTGCCGTTTCGATAACAAAGTTATAGGAAAATATAGATGAGGGGCTAACTTGACGCTCAGCCCCCCCAAAATTTTGGAAATCAGATGAAACCAAAAAGGATTCTTATCCAATCTGAAGTGTGCTGAACTGTGCTGTATCAGGTTTTTCTCAAAATTTCCATATTCGGTCATTTTCCGACAAAATTCTACTGGGGGGCTAACTTGACTCTCAGCCCCCCAAAATTTTGGAAATCAGATTAAACAAAATTGAATTCTTATCCAATCTGAATTGTGCTGAACTGTGCTGAATCAGGTTTTTCTCAAAATTTTCATATTCGATTATTTTCCGACAAAATAATCATACTGGGGAGCGGGGAGCCAATTTAAAGCTCAGCCCCCCAAAATTTTGAAAATCAGATTAAACAAAATTGAATTCTTTTCCAATCTGAAGTGTGCTGAACTGTGCTGTATCAGGCTTTTCTCAAAATTTCCATATTCGGTCATTTTCCGACAAAATCCTACTGGGGAGGTAACTTGAAGCTCAGCCCCCTCAAAATGTTGAAAATTAGATGAAAGAAAATTGAATTCTTATCCAATGTGAAGTGTACTGAACTCTGCTGTATCAGGTTTTCTCAAAATTTACATACTTATTCGGTTATTTTCCGACAAAATCCTACTAGCTAACTTGACGCTCAGCTCAGAGAATTTACATACATTCAGCCCCCCAGTAGGATTTTGTCGGAAAATGACCGAATATGGAAATTTTGAGAAAAACCTTATACAGCACACTTCAGATTGGATAAGAATTCAATTTTGTTCAAACTGATTTTCGAAATTTTGGGGGGGCTGAGCGTCAAGTTAGCACCCCAGTAGGATTTTGTCGGAAAATGACCGAATATGGAAATTTTCAGAAAAACCTGATACAGCACAGTTCAGCACACTTCAAACTGGATAAGAATCCTTTTTGGTTTCATCTGATTTCCAAAATTTTGGGGGGGCTGAGCGTCAAGTTAGCCCTTCATCTATTTTTTCCTATAACTTTGTTATCGAAAAGGCACAGTTCAAAATATCATCGGCACAGCAAAGCACACTTCGAGCAGAGTAAGTGGTTGCAATTTTTTTAGAAAATTCGAATGTGGGGGGCTAACTTGACGCAGCTAATATGTAAGAATACATATATGGGATTGCAAGGCAATACAAAGCTCTACAAAGGAGCGCATGTAACTTACTACTGACAGAAAATATGCTATATTGGAAAGAACAGTAAAGATCTAGGCAAGTAAAAGTATCTAGCTCAGATTTTAAAAAGTTTGGTCGGTTTTTTTATTGTTTTTCTCTATTCCAGTACATCTACCAATTTACTACTGATATTCATAGGCAACAGCGTAATATTTCTTCATTATTATTTCTGAGATGATTCCATTTGAAGTATCTTCTTTCTAAATGCATTTCGCCATCTGAAGAATCATCAAATAAATGCTTCATTTGTACATCCTCAGATGTAGAGCTCAATGTAAATTCTGTCCCTGAAAAATTTTCAATTTTCTTTTTCCTTATCTTTTTAATTCCTTTTCTAGGATTTTTTGTAAGTCTAGGTTTATTGGTGCGACTGGTTGGACTCAATTTAGGCAGAGTTCTATTGCTGGAATAAAATCTTCGTAGTCTATCTGTACTTATTCTACCCAAGGGCTCATTTAGAAGGCAACACAACGGGGTCTTTTTAATTATAACATATTTTTCCTTTAGCTTTACCCTAAACGTAAAGAGATTTCTATATCAGCTCCGGTATGGAGAGATCTTCCAAATCCGACGATTCTATTTCCTCTTCAGGTGGAATAATGCTTTTCCTCCTGTTTTCTTGAGCCATAAGGTGATCAGTAACGTTTTCAACTTTACCTATTTCAATTTCGTTAAAAGCAACATATTGTACTATGTAGGTATGTCTTGGTCATCATAATAATATTATAATTCCTAATATGACAGCATTATTGAGCTGTTCCATAAAACTTTCGATGCTGACAATAAATTGTTACAGGTCTGTTATAAGTTTCACTACGGAACAAAAAGTAACTCCAAAAGATTCTTTGAGTTTTTTTTTTACCTAAGTACATATTTTTTTAAAAAAAAAAAAAGGACAACGATATAAGCAATAGCCGCGTTTAATTCAACTATATGAGAGATGAGAGGGCTCGAAATTAATGTGTAATCCAAAAATATACCTAATCAAAAAAGGATCATTCCATTCAAATTAGGAAGAAAGGTGCCTACCATGTGTTGCTATATTTTTTTTGAAATTGTCCCCTGTTTTTGACAAAAATGCTCACAATTTGTCATAAAAATCCAAGGCTCCTAGCATCCTTTCAATTAACAAATAGAGGTGTATCATGAAATTAAAGAGAAAATGGGTTGACAGGGCTTAAAATATCACGTACGCCACAGCACTAAATAGATTTATTGGTTAGAATTCTGACTTAGTACAAGGGATGTTAAAAGAGTGTGTGCCAATTGCAATGATTCCCACTGTACCTACCTAAACAAATTTCAATACATAAGAAGCTCTATCTCGCCTTTTAACAAACCTATTTTGATTTGGGCGTAGCAATTTCTAACTCCGAGTTGCGAGAGTAAAAATAATTCTTATATGCTTGAACTCGTTTCAAGTTTGATTTTAAAGATAAAAAAATCTTGCAGTGAGAGGCTAGTCTCTCCCTTCAAAAAGAGCCGAATGATAGAAAATCTGATACAACTTTGGCTATAACATCATCACAGGTTCACCAAGAAAAACCTCCTTCTAAGAAACAGAAATAAGACTTAATTTGTGATAAGCTATTACATAGTCATAGTGAATCAACCACATCTCAACTAATATCACCGGAAAATATATTGCCCATTCCTAAGGTAACCCCAAAGCAAACCACAAAAAGGCCTAGAAGAAAAGGTAAAGCTACAGTCGTAACATCTTCCCCATATCTTCAAGAATTGGAAGAATCTAAAAAGATAAACATACTCCAAAGTAAATTAAAAATTAAAGCAAAACTTGGACTTAGATGTACCAATAAAACCAGTAAAAAACTGAAAAAAATGATGTGGATGAGTCAAAATGACATTCAGGAAAATCTGATGTGCCAAGACGAGTCTGGTAAATCGGATTATATCTTCATCACTTCGAAGATGAAATCATACCCTAGGAAAATATGTTAAGTTTAGTTGAAACAGAGATTACAGTCAAAGAATTTGTGCTAGTCGCATTGAAGGATGAAACACAAAAATACACTGCCCAGGTGATTGATCCCTACCTCCAAGGAGTGATAGATTCATACATAGTTAAATTTATGCGAAATTATAGAGGGCATAATGACATTTTCGTTTTTCTAGAAGCTGAAGACAAAAGTGTAATTTTAAAAGCTGAAATTGAAGGAGTTCTAAATAAAATGGACATTTTTTGGTATGGAAAAATTAATTTTAATTAAAATGTTTATTCAAAAAATAAGTTAACAACTTAATAAGTCTTTTTACCTGTACTAATTCTGTAACCTGTAACTATTTTCATACATAAACTTTTTTTAGTCTATTGGTTGTTCCTTTTTTTTCAAACTTAATACTTAATATAATAAAAAAAATTTAAACATAATTATTTATTTTACCTAGGTCCTTTACAATTTATCAAAATAGTCAGATATATGAATGGAATATTGGAAACATATCATTTTATTCTTTTCCAAATAAAAAAAAACAATTGTGCTACCTATTTCACATTGCCCCACTCTCCCCTACATAATATTGTATTTAAATTAAAATCAGGATACAAACTGAAATAATATTTATTATAAAATAGTATTGTCTTTTCTTTTCACAACCCTTAAAAATGGTCTTTAGACCTGGAATGGGAATTCAATAGGGCTAAGCTAGGACCGGACATCGACACCTGGTATCTGCTGATATTTGTCATTTTTGGATACTCGCTGATATCCAAGTTAGATTAAAAAAAAAGTACCTAAATTCAGATACTTGCTTGAGAAAAAAAAAGAACTATATACAGGGTGATGACAGAAAGTGGATACCTTCCGGTTCAATCGGAATTTATCATATTTTTCTTATTTTAAATACGACACCCGGTATATATTTGCTTATTTGGATAGAAAGTGCCATCTGACCTACCCATATAATCCATATTTTATGCAAATATTAATTGAATTACCTACTTAATTAAATTAAAAACCTAAATAATTTTGAGGTTTTGTGTCAAAAGGTGAAAAATGGGGTGCCCCTTTTCTTGGAACAGAAACAGAATGACATTTTCTATAGAAATAAGCAAAAACATATTGGCTGTCCCGTATTGTATCAATATCGGAAATAACAGTATCTTTATCTGAAAGGTGGTATCGGCCCAGCCCTAGAGTCTAACAATGAAAACTAATACTATTGCTGTTTTTTACTACGAACTGCCCTAGTTCGTGGACGGTAGATAACAATCAAAACAAGCTGGAAAGAGCAGAGGAAAACACCAATTGCATTTTGCACCTGGAAAAAAAAAATCTTGTATATTTGACCAAGTTAAAATATTTCAGTACTCACAATCATGAAATTATTCTGCAGAATTACTCCATACAATAACCAGAAGAATGTCACTATTGTACCCATAAAAGTCATTGGAAATGGAATACTGGAAGCATCTTTCCTTTTAATTATTTCTTTCTATAAACAAAATATAATAATTACAAATTTTCACCAGCAACGAACTTATTAATTTTCAAAAATCAGTGTGAAAACTTCAGTGGTAGGTGTTGATTTACATTATTTAAAACTGTTTTGAAATAAAGAATTTTGTACACATAGGTACTATTTTCTCTCAAGTAAGTATGTGGAACACTTACCACATCCAACAAAGGCATTCCCATCAAAAACAGCATTAATGCAGTTAAAATAAAGCCGAATGAAAATTCAACATTATCAGGTGTATCAGATCGAGCATATCCGAGAAGAACTGCATCCAGTGCCACAGCATATGCGATTGGTTTCAATACTTCATTCTTTTTATCCTCAGATTTTACGTAAAAAAATACTGTATAGAGTAGATTCAAAAAAATTGCCACAAGATTCACTAGAATCATTATGCGGTCTTCTAATATCACGCCATATTGCAGGAAAAGAATACCACTAAAACAATCTTAGAACCATTATCAAAAATTATTTATTCATTTAAAGTTACTTACATTGCTACACCGCCAATAAACGGCATTGGACTAAATCCTTTGGTGCTCCCATTTTTGTGGATATCCCTGCAAACAACTATCCCAGCGAAAAATTGTAAAATCGTTAAAGCGCCAGCTAAATTAGCTACCAATTCTTTGTAGGGTTGCAAAGTTCTTGAAACGATCTCCATCGTGAATAATTCGGATTGATATCTAAAAATTTGACTGCTTTAAACAACTGTTGGTTACTTAAAACAATATTGGTTAAATTAAACAGTGAGGCGCTCAAGGTTATAAGTATTTAGATAGTTTAAGTAGGATGTTTAGAGGTAGGGTTTGATAGTATATCAATATACATAGGTAATTCATTTGTTTTGTTTTAAGCGATTTGATTAAAACTAATTTCAATATTTATAGACAATGGATTTCTTACTAAAATATTCCAGATTTTTCTAAAACTTTTTACTATACCCTAAAGAAAAGTGAACATGGATCTTCCAGTCACCAAATTTGGAATGCTATTTCAAGACTGACTACTGATCTGATTAGATATAAATTATTTGAGTATCTTTCAAATATTAAATAATGTAAACATGAGATAATCTTTTAAGGCAAATTAGGCATTCACACAATGCAATATTTAATATATCAACCTAAGGAGAAAATTATACAGTGTGTCACTATTAAAGTCTGCAGCATAAATATGGGTTTTTTTAATATTATATAAAATATAATTCCCAATAAAAATTATTGACAAAGCAACTTAAACACTATATCCGGAAAATCCGGACAAACAAGTTTCATACTAATGATTACTTAAAACATGATCTAATTCTAATAGTTAAACAAAAAAATTTGTAAAACTAGCCAACAAATAATGACACAAAAAAAACACAAATGGAAAAAAATACAAACAAAATGTAAAAAATGTAAAAAAAGACAACAATCAACAGCAAGATATCACACAATTATTATTATTATTATTAAACTGAAAAACAAATGATACAGACTAAGAGAGTGATGATTATCTAAATTTTGAGTCATATAATTTCATAAATGACTTGGAAGTAAATTACCAATAATTTTGTTAATAAAAATCCAAACAAAATATAATATTAAATTTTTCACATTCAGCCACTGTAATAATTCATTGGAATATTTTTTGTATATTCATCTTTATTCAATGTAATACACATCTCTCTATTTTGCAAAACTTGTACAGCCGTATTCAATATTCTCTTTCAACTTTACATGAGCTTTTAAAACTTGTCACTTTAAAAAATTGGTATTCTAAGCATTAAGCAATACACATTTCTAAAATTGACTGACAGCTTTCAAAGTCGCTTTAAAAATTAAAAGATGTTTGAATACGGCTGATTGACGATTGTATTTCTATAATTTCATCATTCGCAAATAATCAAATCAAATCAAATGAAAAACAGCTTTATTGAATAAAGATCAATACAATCTCATCATCAAAGCATACTAATCCAATATAAATTCTTAATACTACATAAATAAATATAAAACAAACATGGTATGATACTAAACAAGCACTAGTTAGAAACAGGTACCTAACGCTAGAAACAGGTACCTAATAATAAATTAAGTTGAAGTTTAAGTCAATGAACTCACATATGTAGGTACACATATAATTGTAGGGCAAAGTCAAAGAAAGTATAAGTAAATATAAACACTACTTATTCAAGGGAGTCATTGAAAAATTCTATGATTGAATAGTAGGCTTTCCTAACCAATTCTGTAGTTGAAACTCTTTTTTCAGTTATATATTTATTAACAGATATTTCCTCTTGTGATGATGATGATATTGTAGTTTTTTTAGAAATTTTAGATTTTTATAAGTTTACAAAAAGAAAACTTCTGACCTCTCCACCAATTTTTTTAAATATTGTGTGTTGTACATCCTAAACACACTGTACACCCCTCGAGGGCAAAACTACCCATTTATATAAGGAGAAAATCGGAAGATATGGATGGATTTTTTCCTCACATAAATGGGTAGTTTTAGCCCTGAGGGGTGTACAGGGTGTCTAAGATTGGATGGGTTTGGGGGGTTTCGGGTATTTCTAAAGGAGTTGGAAAAAATCTGACCCCCACTTGCGAGCCTCGATTTTCAAGAGAAATTAACTGGTGAAAACCGCATCTCGATATGTCGAGTCGTTTTTATGCTACGAGGGGTTTTTGAAAAGTTTGGAGTTTGGCAGGGGGGCTATAACTTTTTTATTTATGAATATTTGGTCAACTTTTCCCCTTGTAGCTTAAAAGCGAATCGAGATATCGAGGTACGGATTTCACCGGTCAACTTCTCTTGAAAATCGAGGCTCGCAAGTGGTACCCGAAACCCGCTAAAACCATCGAATCTTTGACACCCTGTACAGTGTGTTTCGGAATAATTTCTGGGTGCGCTTGTAAGTTTGAATCTACGCACAACACACAATATTTAGTGATATTTCATATATTTCAAGTCACAAACTCTAAGTTCTCCTTTGTAATTGTTTCAGCTGATGATGGAATTCTTATAATCTCGAAACATGTCTTAGTAGTTTTCCAACAAAGAAACAATTTAAAAAACTAGGGAATTATCGAAGCTCCACTGTAAGAAAATTGACTATTTTTTAAATTTTCTAAGTTTTCCCAAATTTGTACAATAATCCAATTTTGATCACTAGGTTTTGGTTGACAAGTTGTTTCTGTTTTTGAAATAAAATAATTCGATATTACAAGGTCTATAAGTGTTTTACCATCGATTTTTTTGTTACAAATAATATATACAGGGTTTCACAAACATCGAAACAGAGGCGTATTTTAAGGTCGATAAAAAAAATTGTTCGGACACGTCCTGGGGGAGGTGACTTTCACCACCCTTTTTCAGATAGGGAAGAGTGATACCTCGAGTGATACCTTATTGTTTTAAAGTTATTTTGATTCTGGTCACAACTGCATATTTTTTTTGAAAATGGAATGATTAATTCTCTAGATATTCACTGTTAAAGTTGCCATGGGCTAAATAAGAAACAATCTTCTGGCTTTGTTACTCTCAAATTAACACGTTCCTGACTTTCCGCTTGAACACGTCAATTTTCATTTTTTTTTCTGCTTCTGAAAAAATTGAAATTGACGTGTCCGAGAGAATAGTCAGGAAAGTGTTAATTTGAGAATAGCAGGGCCAAAAAATTGTTTCTCATTTAGCCCATGGCAATTTTGACCGTGAATATCTCGAGAACTAATAAAGATTTTCAAAAAAAAAATAAGCTGTTGTGACGAAAGTCAAAACACCTGTTGGGGCGGTAGTCCTTGGGAAGCTCCTTGGAATGAATCCACCCGATAATTGTTTTAACAATCGTTTTATTTAAATTTCAAATTAGAGCAAGCATGCCGCCACACTCTATTGCACCAGGTCTGGAGAATGGAATTGATTGAATTGACTAATATAATGACATTTTGACAAATATATCTGACATGAAAAATTCTGTCGCTGGTTGCCGCATTAGAATCAGCAGGAAAACAGAATGTGGCGTTTGCCGAACACATTCACATATTTTACAAACAATAAGCATCCTGATGTGCAAACATCTTGAAATTGAATGTATAACGTAACAACACCTTTAAAACAAGGTACCACTCGACCCATCTTCCCTATCTAAAAGAGTGGGGTGAGAGTCACCTCACCCAGGGGGTGCAGCCTAGCGAAATACCGATGGGGTCAAAAAGTTCCCCCCCTTGAATACAAAATTGACATGTCTGAGCGTTTTTTTAATTGACTTTAAAATACCTGAAAACGCCTCTGTTTCGATGTTCGTGAAACATCCTGTATGTTTAATAACATATTACCTATGTTTTCAGGACTGAGACTTGATCACACAATTCCTCAATTCTTGATTTTCAAAAACAACAATTCAGGAAAAATTTAACTTTTACGAATTGAGGAAAAAATTGAGATTAGGGGATGCAGGCCTAAATTTATTAGGAATTAAAAAACAAACATTTAATGAACAATTAAGAACTTGGGAAAGACTGAAGACCAGCATTATTTTTTTTGTATAACAATTTTCTAATTGGTTTCAGTCATTAGTCATTACAAAATTAACAAGAAGTATAAATCCTTAACACAGTGTAAATTGCACTGATGCCAAGGATAAATAATAATCACAGTATGTAACATTAACCAAATTAATAACATATAATAAGAATTGCACTGGGCAGTAAGCAATTACCTGGCTGGATAGGAATCGAGAGCCCAGTGGACAGTTCACTTGTACACGTGTACGTAGTTATAGCTTTATGTCGCGAATAGTATAAGAGATGATTGCATAATATAACATTAATAATAATTAAATGAACACTTTCAATAATATGAACACCAGTCAGAGTCAGGGTCAGGACTCGATACTGCTGAGATACCAAATTTAAGTAGGTCAGGATGTATGAATACTGCTGAGACAATAAACTAAACAGAGTAGTCATGGTTGGTTATATTATCAGTTATTAACGAATTATCGAAGAAATCACGATAATACACAACTGCTAATTAAATGAAATTTGAACTTCGCACTATTTGATTTCAAGGAACATGACAATCAAAATTACCAGGTTAGGTTCAGTGCCTTAAGCCGGGCGCACACATGCGGTATTCGGCCGTACCGAACAGCAAATAATCGGTATGCGGCTCGGCAAGTAGCGACTAGCGCGTATGGGTTGCTCGGTCGAATATTTGCTATTCGCTATTTTCCCGCCGTCTGTTAGTTATTTTGTACGGAATCAAAGGAGAGGAATACCTATTTGTAATTGCAGTCGATCCACACATTCCTGCAAATTTGGGGGTGCATTATTTTTGTATTTGTGGTGAAATTTAATTTTTGGTCGGCTCACACAAGCCAAGTCTATCCTACCTAAAGCTATGTCCACACCAAAGACACATAGAGGAACATTTTGTTGCTGGTTGCCGCAACCTGTTTATGGAAACAGAAACAACAGCAAAAGTTCCGTAAACATTCTGTCCACACCATGGTTAGATATTTTTGTGAATGTTTCGTTGTGTTGTTGCAACAGTAAATGCTGTGTCTACACCAGTGATGTGCGTTCCTTGTTTTGAAACAATGTGGACGATGTACAGACACACAACGGCTAGAGGTCTGTTCTCACAAAAGTCCCTGACAGTTTGCAAACTGTCAGTAATAATCGCTCAGCTAAGTAACTTATTTATCTTGGAACGACGGCATTGAAAACATGCATGGGCGATGTATTCTGACAGTTTGCAAACTGTCAGAGACTGGTGAGAACAAACCTTAAGTTCCAAGTTTCGGGAACAAGCAACAACGTGTCCACACTGATAAAAAATAAAGTTGAGAAACAAAAAATGTTCACCAATGTTTCTATATTTCCTTTGATCTTTGCCGCTAAATATGGAAATAAGTAACTCATAGGAACTTCTGTTGCTGCAACCATCAACAATAAGGAACTTGAATCTACTTTTGGAAACATACAGAAAAAAGTTCCAGGAACAAGAAACATAAACACAATGTTCCTATATGTTAGGTACTTTCGGTGTGGACGAAGCTAAAAGCTATTTTTCGCGACATAATTTTTCGAAAGATTATGTTCGTTTATGATGGGTACGGTAATGCTCAAATTACCGAAAATAACCCACATAATCGAACATAATCTTTGGAAAAATTATGTCTTGAAAAATAGCCTGTCGCTTTCAGTGTGGACGTAGCTTTAAACGGTACCATGAGCGGAACAGATAAAGTGATGATCACGTTTGAACACGTTAAGGTTGCATCGTTCAGGAAATGAAGTGGGGAACAAGGAGTTCGAGAGGTGAACAGTACGCCACCAAAAAGAAGCCCTACATTTAGAGGTCCTTAGGGTAGGAAACTTTACTACATATGGGTGGGATGCTTGTGAGGTTCTTGTGGATCTTAAATAACTTCGCTAGATCATCAGAACATATCCCATGGTAATAGCGATAGAATAACGAAACGTCAGCAACTTTGCGTCTATGTTCGACAATTTGCATAATTAGTAGCATTTTTGTTTCTTTCCTTTGTACTGCATCTAAAAGAGCCAAAGAGTGCTTGGAGAGCATTTGCTCCAGATATGGAAACATTATTCCATACATTGTCTGAGCTGAGCCTTGTAAAGAAGAAGTAAAAAAGTTTTTTGCACGAAACAAAAAACTTCATTTTTGAGAAGTGGTGTTGGTGATCGTAGATACATGTTCATGCCAAGGCAAGTTGGTTGCGGTCACCCCAAGAAGAGATACTGAGGGATTGATAGAAAGGTTTTATCCTGACATCCTTAAAACTGGGTTATCATCGGCGGATGATTTCTTATTTAAGAATACTGTTGCTCCAGTTTTGGAAACATTGAATGTGACTAGGTTGCTAAGGGCCCAGTTGGTAGTGGTGTCAAGATTACTGTATTTAGAGAGAGGGCGAGGCGTGTGGAGGTAGATGCAGTAAGCGGTTTGTCAGAAGAGAAATATTGCAAATTCATACGAAAGAAGTTTGCCTAGGAGGCTTTTGCGCCACACCTGATCAAAAGCCTAGGGGATGTCCAATGCTACATCTCTGCTTCAAAATTAAAATAGGCAAATATTCATCATCTGCGACACATGTGTCTCTACCCTGTTAGCCAAATGAAAATTATTTGCCAAGTTGCTCGGCGAACAGTGAATAATCGCGATTCGTCGAATGCCGCATGTGTGTACCCGGCTTGAAAGGTGTTAGCGACGGGCCTGCCTCCAGCGTTGCAGGGACGTTCGAAAAATCACTAGGCGGTACAGATCGTGTTTCTGGAAAAGTTCAAAAATACCAGTAGAGTTAAAGAGCCACTATTTGTTTGAACTTGGAATTTACAACCGACCCTGAAATTAAGCCATCCTAATAACCAGTACATTTAATAGATAGACTAGTCTCCAACAAGTCTAAGATATAGGATAGAGCGATTGCACAACACACTGAGTCATATGTCGGCTTATTTCAAGAGTTTTTTTGTGTTTGATCACACGCGTTTCTTTATTACCCTCAACCATCCTAACTAAATAAATAATTCAAAATTCCTTTGACCCAACCAGAGGACAGGCAGCAAAACTGCCATTAAACCATTTCAAAATGTCCAGAAGTTTTTTAGATAACCTTCTAATATGCGTTAACATAATTGCAAATATTATGCTGATTATTTTGTTTGAAATTTGTTAAAAATAACTTGTCAAATCAATAAACTTTACTCTCTCTAGGAATAAAACGAGTAACATCCGCATTTTCTTCCTCCACACCTAATTCTTGATTCAGACAATACCTACTGTATTGTAGGGAAAAGAATTTCGGTAATAAAATAAGTAATATGCCAAATTTGCTACTTGCTGCTCTGGAACAGAATAGAAATATTTAAAATAAGACTCTTTCGATGTTTAACTCAAAATAAGACTGCATATTTGAAAGCTATTACCCAATCGATGCTCCCCTGGAAATCGTTTCATTTTTTCACCTGAAACATAATAATAATTCTGTTATTATTAATTTGCATGGATGGATGATTTTGTTACGAAATTGCCTCAAGAGCCCGGCTTGATCCGACAAATTAAGTTGTTCACGTCTGGGAGCGCGTCTTTTCTGAGAATTCTATTATATTCGATAAACATATTCTTCTAGATTGAACCGGAGTCTGATTTCGACTATACATAGCGCGTAATGTAATAGAGTGTAGATTGTGGGGGAGTCGTTTCGGCTTTTCAGCCGCTCAGCACTGCAACCTTTGCAGATATTTTGTACGTGACTCTACATCTTAAGTTGTCTCCAGGAAGCGTAGACTTCTACCGAAGGAAGCTATTTTCCTGGGTGTCAGTAGGCACACTTCTTCTGGTGACAGTGTTGCCCCATCGAGGAGTTTGAGCCTCTTGCAGAATTGGGCTGGACATTCGCAGAGCAGTTGCTCTGCGGTCTCTATTGCGTCTGAGCAGAATCTGCAGAGATCGTCTTCTGCTCTGCCCATTAACCTTAAATGGTGCGTAATGTAATGTTTTAGTTTAGTTTAAATACGATATTTCTTGTGTAAGTTGTAAGTTTCGATAAGTGATAAGTAAATTTTTATAAAGTTGTAACAAGGTTACAGTCGGCTCGGACAGAAAATTAAATAACAGGCAATAAATTAAATCAAAAATAATTAATTCGAAACGAGAGGAGAGGCGTACCTATTTTATGAAAATTACTGTAACTTCGTTACAAATTCTATTTGCTAGTAAAAGTTGTTACTGTTTTGTAAAGTGAGTTTCAGTGGACCCGGAATCCGTGACGATATATACATACATATGACGTATATCCACCTGTACAAAAAAGGTCCTAAGAAAACATAAAAATAATTTTACATCATTTTTACTAAAAATATTTGACTTCATGTGTTTGGAGCTAGCAATATTTCTTAAAATTTGAACTGACCCCCAAATTTAAACGAATACGACTACATAGTGGTCAAGTTTCACAGCACCACGCGAAATTACCACATCAACTCGAATATTATATCGACAGCAGCTCAAAAGGTAACTTGTGACAAAATCACAATTGACTTTTCACTTGGGAGATAGTTTAATACCCAAACCAAAATAAAAGTTAATGTTTGTAAATTCAAGGAAAAAAAAAATATCTCGAAAATTAGCAAAATTTAGTGAAAAAATTAATATTCGGTAATGTTTTAAGGCTGTTAGGCTGAATCAACATCTAAATTATTGTGTGTCTCTTAGAACCCACCTTTAGTCGAATTCTCAAGGGGCACAATAACTTATCTTTTGGAGACATTATGTAGGTACCTATGTGGTAACAAAAAAAAAATATTATATCGCAAAATAAATTTTTACATCACAAAATGTTGATAAAAAAAGCATTGGATGTTTTTTGAATATTTGTATTCAATGTCCATGTACGTCAAGACTCTCTCTCGCACGCGCACTGGCTGTATTATGTTCTCTCTGTTACATTCATTTTTAACCGTCCACACCCATACATCGCCAACGCCTCATAGCTCTTTATATTTAATACAAATTCTCCCAGAGAATTGTCACTTTCTCCAATTTTGTGATATCTTTTCTCACTTTCACCGGGCACGTTTCTCCCGAGCGCAACGCAACTTTGCGGATCAATACACAAACCTTTCCAGATTGCCAGAACAGCTGGAAAAAGCTGGTGTGAGATCATTGAATACAGTTCTTGTGCAGAGAAGAGACTAACAAAATATAATATGTGGTCGAAGTTTATTAAACCTCATTCCGCAACTTGTCGTAGTAGTGTTTCTAAATTTGGTAAATACGCATATTTAAATTTTTAATGTTTAGTAATCTTATTTTTCACGTGGAAATTGTACTAGGCAACAAAAGTCAATCAACAGCCGCTTGTAACAGTTTACCTGCAAAATTCCCTGGTGAACCCAGCGGACCCTGCATAAAAACCTCAATTCCTGGACCTAGGACGAAGCAACTTCTAGAAGACCTTAACAAAATACAAGTAAAAATATTTGTTTAACACTTCAGGCTATTTATTAAAAATTATTCAAGCAAGCAAATTCAACATCCGTCTTCGTAAATTATGACAAATGCTGTGGAAATTACATCGTCGACGCAGACGATAATACTTATTTAGACGTTTACACCAATATTTCTACAATACCGCTTGGCTATAATCATCCAGAATTGCTCCAAGTTTTCAATAATGAACATGAATTGGTAATTTATAAAAACGTATTCCAAATAACTTTGACTATGATAATTTTATTTGCAGAAAAGTCTCATTAATCGGCCAGCTTTGGGAATATTTCCTGGAGAAGATTGGCCTAAAAGAATGAAAAATATTATGGACATGGTGATAATCATTATTATAATTACCTTTTATTATCAGTTATTTAATTAATAATTATAGATAGCTCCTAGCGGCTTAACTCAACTGAATACTATGATGTGCGGGGCATGTGCCAACGAAAACGCTTTCAAACACGCATTTATGGCTTACAGAAGAAGAGAACGGGGAAACGACAATTTCAGCACAGAAGAAACAGAAACAGTCCTCCTTAACCAACCTCCTGGTGCTCCAAAACTAGCCATCATGTCTTTCAAAAACAGCTTCCACGGTAGAACTCTCGGAACGCTCTCTGCAACAAGATCTAAATATATTCAGAAGATTGATATACCTGCGTTTGATTGGCCATGTGCACCATTTCCTCAGTACAAATATCCTTTGGAAGAAAATGAAAAATTTAATATGGAAGAAGACGATAGATGTTTAGCGGAAGTTGAACATTTGATGGAGGTGTGGTATAAAAAAGGAACGCCAGTAGCAGGAGTAAGTAAATTTAAAAATATTCTAGAGTAGTACCTACCAATAGTCATTTCCAGGTTATCGTTGAACCAATTCAATCCGAAGGAGGCGATAATCACGCATCCCCATACTTCTTTAGAAAATTACAATCAATTGCTAGAAAGAACAATGCTGCCTACATATTGGACGAGGTCCAAACAGGTGGAGGCCCAACTGGAAAGTTTTGGTGCCATGAATATTTCGACTTGGAATGCCCTCCAGACATTGTTACTTTTAGCAAAAAGTTGCAATTGGGAGGATACTTCACTACTGAAGACATGAAGTAAGGATCAAATTTTTGTGATAAATTCATTTTTTTGGAAAAAAATATATTTATTTTTAGACCGCAGCAGCCATTTAGGACTTTCAACACCTGGATGGGCGATCCAGGAAAAGTAATTCTACTAGAAAAATATTTGGAGATAATCAAGAGGGATAAGTTATTGGAAAATGTCCGTTCAACGGGAAAGTACACTTTGGAATGTCTGAAGCAGATTCAAAGTGAATTTGCACCCTTTATACATTCAGTTAGAGGCAGGGGTACCTTTATAGCACTCACTGCTGAAACGACAGAAAAAAGGGATGAAATTATCAGAAGATTAAGAGCAAAAGGTAGGTAATGGGCACAATTTTATGTTCCAATTAAATCCGTAAAAAGCAGGAGACTTCTTGTGCCGGAATTTTAGTCCCCTTCTATAGAAGGTACTTTTTTTTTTAATACATATATTTTTTTTTCTATTCTAGTCCATTCATAAGGTCTACAGACTTAATATCAAGTGCGTGATCTGAGATTTTGGAAGCTGATTGGCCGAAATTAGGAGGTCGACTTGGGCGACCAGCGCTCAATTTAAACGATTAACCCAAGGCCCCAAAATCTAGCCAATCAGCGTCGACCATCTCCAACTTTTGGAAAATTCTAATGAAACTTCAATTCCCAGCTTCGATCCTACTTAATAAAAAAATATTTTTAAAAATTGTTATATTTGGCAAATTCTCTCCAAGCACTTGAAGAATTCTGACTTTTATTGAATCTTTTTTTATTTTTAGGGACTATTTGTGGAGGTGCTCATGATCTAACAGTTCGTCTAAGACCAACACTGCTATTTGCTAAACCTCATGCGGATATATTTTTGGAAAGCTTCTATGAAGTTATGAAAGAAATGACATTTTAATGAGGATCAACATTTAGAATATAATGGCCCAAATTAAAGAGTTATTGGAAATTTTAGATACGGTCGCGTAATATTAACGAAAGTTTTTTTTTTGATTTCATTCCTGTCTTATGTTTTGCTTAGGCATACACTGTTTCAAACATAGTTAATTGAAACCCATGATGCCAGCTGAAATTAAATTTATCACTGTTACTAATAAACAAAGGATTTTTCCTCCAAATCCAAACTGCACCTGATTAGTTGTTACTGCTCGTCATGATTATTGCGCGTCCAATATCTCTCTTTCATCTATGTAATGTAAAATTCATACAAATGCGGATTTTATGTAGGTTTAAACTACTATACTTACGTCTTCCAATAGAAAACTGTCTTCCACTTAAGTCTAAGATAAATTTTGAAAAATTATAAAATTAAAATATTGATGAGTGTTTGAAATTGTTTGATTTATTGATATTGTAAAGGCGGTATGACGGAACTAGCTATTGCCCCTTTTTGGGCTTTAGTCAAACCGCACCAGGGGTGCCGATGCCAAAAGTTTTTACTTTTAGGCCAGGGCAGTTAGCTGAAAAAATGGCCTTTAGCAGAAGTTCTTGCAATCAAGCTGATTTTTTCACAGATGATAGTACCCATCAATAGAACTCTGTAAAAAAAAGTTACACCTCCTAGGAGGCTTGTTTTTTCCGCCATGATGAATTGAAGATGGCGGCTGGTGCTATCCTTGGAAAAAAACGTAACTTTCTTATTTATTAACCGATTTTCGTCAAGTAAAAAAAAACTTCGGTTTTGACTAAAGAATAACATGAAAATATGAAACCATTTTGACAGGTAGTATTTCTGTCAAATAAAAAAAAAATAGGAAAAGAAATCGATTTGTTTTTCATCAATTTTCTCTGAACTGTAGGTGCTTCTTAGCAAAAAAAGCTCGAAAATATGCGCTTTTTTTTCTGATTTTGTCATGGGTTGAGTAATTGGGAGTGGAGAGATATAGTCGAAAAGAATTTGAGAATCCAAATAAACAAGCTTATGCTGGATGTGAAAACTTGATTTTTTGCTCGATTGACATAAAAACAGCCTTTGGTTTAAGCTAACACATTTTCTTTTTTCTACTATCGTGCGTAAAGTACTTACTTTATGCATTGTTTAAAAGACGTAATATTAAATTTCACGAACTAATGCGTAAAGTAATTACTAATTTGCAACAACAAATTGTATTAGTTTCTTTTCAAAAATGCATAAATACCCACACCCACAAGTATAAAATTGAGAAAAATATACCAACCACAACTTTACGCCCTAGTGTCTAAAATAACTTATTTCACAACCTAAGGTGTAAAGTAAAATCACATTTCTAATGCAGAAAAAGGGCAGTAAAGGCTTTGATAATTTAACATTTAATACTTGTGGGTATTTATGCATTTTTGCGAAGAAACTAATTCGTTCTTACAGGTTTTATCGTCTGTTATATAATTTACAGTGTGTTGGATTTTCTTGGCATGCAGACTTAAAATGGATGAAAGATTTGACCGAAAAGGTAGAAATGAAACAGGTTTTGGTAGCTCAGTTGGTAGAGCGTTGTATTAGATATGCGAGTTCTCGTCCGTACGCTGAACAATACAGTCGATAGGCTTCCGAACCAAACAAACCTTTTTTGCTCGCATTCCTTAAGAGTGTTTATCAGTTTTTTGCCGGCACATTCGGTAGCGAATGTGCCTAAAGTTTCCAGTGTTTTTCCGAGTAAGCACGCGCCGGGTAAGTTCTGGATAGACAGACTACCCCGAGTTTTTTCCGGGGCATCGCCCCATCCATTTTTCGGCCAGATCGGCCGAAATCCATTTACCCCATTTTTTGTGGTACGCACCACAAAACGCTGCCACAAAATAAATCTACAAAAAGTAAAGGTATCCATATACTCAGGCGAGAACAGCAGAACAAGTGAGGGTACGTCGGAAAAGTTGGGGCATAATTTTCAAAGGAGGCCGTGAACAAAGTAAGGGGACGCCTTAAGCCTAGTTCTCATGGTGCGGGATTCCGCATTGCGGGTCCGGAAATCGCAGTTTTTTGAAAATCGTAATTTTTGATGGTTCACATGAAACGGAATTCCGGATGCGGTTTTATGTCAGTCAAATACATGTGATCTTAACCTAACATATTTTTTGTTTTTGTTTTCTTGTGTGCCTGGATGGATAATTATATTGCACAATTAAATTATTATCAATGGAAAAGACAGAGGGAGGTATGAAAAAAAAACAAAGTATCTGCTACTACGACAAGTAGTAGTATATTCTTCGTAGTGTTTACTTTAAAATGAAGTAGATACTACATTTCGAAACTACCGGAAATTAGTAAATCCTTTGTTGTGAAGTAAATACTTCGTAGAATATACTACTACCTGTAGTAGTAGCAAAGTACTTCGTTTTTATTCAGACTACCACCGAATATACGTTAGTATTGGGTTTGTTATTTATCCATAATATGCATGAAACTTCATCAAAGGAGCAGAATAGCAGAGGAATATTAAAAAAAGGAAGATGTTGTTCAGAAATATTCTTCTGAAAAGGCATGAACAAGGGGTTTGCCGTAATAATATGTATTTGAAAATAAAACAAGCACATACAAGCATGCAGATCAATTTATTTTTGTTAGGTATTAATTGTTTTTGTTTTTTGTTTGAGGTTAGTTTATTTGTTTATGTAGAAATCAAACAAAGATGAGAAATGTTTAGACAAAGACAGAAAAAAAAATCGCAAGAAAGTTGAAAATGGTTCAACTTTATTGCGGATCCGCAAAAAAGTTGACGTTTTCCCGCCAACGGAATTATTTCAAAAATTCCGCACCCGCAATCCGGAATTCCGCATCATGAGAACTAGGCTTTACTCTACAGTTCCACCAAAAAACGCCGACAACAAGTGAGAGAACGTGCCAAAGCCTTGGCACCTCAAAAAAATTTTTACAAGTCCAAAGAACAAGTGAGGGGACTTGGACTTGCAAGTTTTCACCAACAAGTGAGGGTACGAGCCGACTGACGGCACAAAAATCCGACTAAGTCCAGCAATAAGTGAGGGCAGCTGCAAGTCGATTACCAAAAATCAAGCTAAGTCCGACAACAAGTGAGGGCAGCGGGACTTAGCAGATTTCAACAACCAAGGCACTTCCATGTCCCCCTAACTTAGGCTGCTGAATCGATTAGGCAGCCACACAAGTTGGGGCAGGCAACATGATAGGAGAGGATGACTCTGACAATGAGAGTGTGAAGAGTTATTCATCAACCACATCCATCACACTCAACAAACCAAGGAAGAGCATTCCAAAAATCTCGGCAAGATTGCAGATTCACGCTGAAATATGCAACGACTGTGTCAAATATTTAAATTACTTAAACACTCATGCTCCCGATGAAGCAGAGCCAATGCTGGATGTGATAATCACACACATCAAGTGCAAACATCCCATGACGAAGTCAGCCTATAAAACGGCTCAGGAAAAACGGAAAAATATGGAAACTAGTCCTGAACAAACAGGGGATCCTCGCAGGGTGAGGAAAAATGAGCCCAGCCCTCCCGCTCACCCCCCACCTTTCCGCCCACCATCACCTCGCCAATCAAGCTCTGGTGCTGTGCCAAAAATAATCAAACAAACGGGATTTGGCAATCTCTTCAAAATTCCCACAAACAATCGCTACCAAGTACTAGAAGTCCCAGAGCCAGACCCAGTACCGCAAGAGGAAGGTGCAGATGCTGCAGCTGCACCGGAACTCAACACCTCCAAGGAGGAAATTAAAAATAAAGTGGCGGAATCCGCTTCACCAAAAACAGGTCCCAAGGGTAAAAAAGCCCTACCCCCCCCCCCCCTATTGTAATCAGGGGAAAGCTATAGGGAACCATAAAACCTTTTTAGATATGGCCTCTAAAATTACAACCGAGCAAATCGAAATTAAGTACGAGAAACTCTGTGATAGATTACCCCAAGAACATGAACGATCACAGCAGCATGGCCAGACATCTTAAGAGGGATGGAGCGGAATTCCACACTTATACAGTCCCCTCTGAAAAGACGCACGCTTTCGTCATGCGCCGCATGAAGGGGAATTATTCCAACGAAGAAATAAAAGAGCATCTGATAGACCGATACTCGATGAGAGTAATGGAGGTCTATCAGATGAAACACACGGGGGAGGATAACCCGCTGTACCTAGTGGTGACCAGCTCGGATTGGACGCTGAACAAAATCCGAGCCACAATCAGCACCGTATTTGCATCAAGGGTACAGTGGGAGGAACGTAAAAACCGGAAAAACGTGTCCCAGTGCATCAAATGCCAGGCCTGGGGACACACGATGTCTGGGTGCAACAGGGCAAAAAAGTGCTCCAAGTGCGCACAGAGCCACATGACGGCCGACTGCCCAAATAGGTACAAGCAGTCGGTCTGTGCAAATTGTAATGGCGCACACCGGGCAATGTCCACAAGCTGTCCGGTATACAAGTACAAAAAACAAATGCTAGATGAAAGGAATGCACCCAAGCCAGTTTACGTTCCAGCCCCCCCACCCCAGAACAGGGCCTGGGATCGAAGAGCGGTCCAGGCGCCTAGGCAACCCCTACGACAACCACCACCCCAGATCCAGAGACATCCACATTTCGAGTATGAAAGAGACTTTCCTCGCGGCCCCATGAACAATAGTGCCCGTGATGTGCGGGAACAACAAATAGTGCGTGGTATTCGCGAACCATTGCCAGGCAGTTCTGGCAACCAGACCTCTTCCAATCTTGTTGAAACGTTCTCGACGTTTCAATTCAAATTTGCCCGCCTCGAATCACTAGTCAATATGGACGGCATGATGCGGGCATTGGACTGCTACATCGGCATGCTCGAAGGGTGCAATGACGACGGGGAGTTGTTTAACGCCAGTCGCAAGTTCTTCTGCTCCGAAATCAACAAATTCAATATTAGTCGCGTTCAGGGTCGTCTATTGGAACGCTAACAGCCTCAACGGCAAAGTAGGTGAGCTCATCCACTTCCTTCATCACGAGAGGATCGATATCGCCATAGTCGTGGAAACATGGCTAGGGGATGGAGATCGTCTCGTGGTGAAAAACTACTCCTGCGAAAGCTCTGACAGAGCCGGCCGCTGCGCGGGTGGTGTGGCGATATTGATCAGGAACTCAATCGCATACAAGCGGATGCCACAGTGGCAGAGTGCCATTGAGCACGTGAGCATTCAGCTTGCGAATTGCGTCCTGATCAATGGCTGCTACAACGCCCCGCAGACCCGTCCGTCAGTAGCCCACCTGACTTCATTCTTCCCCCAAAATTCTCGCTCATTGTTGCTTGGAGACCTAAACGCCAGACACAGACTTTGGCGGAATCATAGAGGAAATACCAACGGTATGATCCTGAATGATTTCGTCAACGATCGACCAGAGTTGATACTCCTCA